TCCACCTGGGTGTCAAGCCGCACCAATGTTAAGTGCTCCGTGACGCTACCCACACAAAGGGTGCTATATAAATGCAAGTTGTTGTTGTTGAACTTACTGATTTTATTCATAGTCTACGATAATGTGCACATTCCTAAACTCGTCTCCCTGCACTGCCAGTGCCCGGAAAGTAGATTCTGGGAATCCATGAGCATCACATTGCAGAGTTTGATAAGCTGGGAATACAGCGAGGCAAGTTTCGAGATGCGCACATAACATTGTCCTTTCCTGGCAAGAAAAGAATGATCAGATTTGTAACTTCAATCTGTGAAGGTGTCAGTTATTAATAAATATATTGAATGTTTTGTTCATCTATGAATGGATACAGTTTTTTTTATGTTCCAATATAAACATCGATTTTCACCAAGTATTTAAGTCAACTATTTTCCTCAATGTTTACACTATAAAATCATGTGCTTCACACATTAGGGCATGAAAATTTTCACACCAGTTACCTTTAATGTAACTGGTCATTTCTTGCACACATTAGCTTTAATGACTGCAGGCAGGAATTTGTAACTGGCGCTATGCAACACAATAAACCACCAGTGTGCAAACACACTGTATTCAAATCAGGGCATCTGTACTTTAAAGGGGAAATATAAATAATCCTTGCATTTATCATAGAACCTTTCATATCAGGAGGACATCTCAAAGCACTTTACATTTTATTATGAAGTATAGTGACTGCAGCAATGTCCCACGAACAGCCATGAAGTCAATGGTCAATTTTATTTGAGACATTTTTGGATTGGACAAGGGGAGAAACCCTAACCTTCCATGAGAAAACAATTGCTTGGTAAAGCTTTTTGTTTTGCTGGGGGAAGAGATCCTTCCCCCAGCAAAACAAAGAATTGTTCTGGTTATAGCGATGCTACTCCCAGTGTTTCAAAATAGTTTATTCCAACGAGGTCTGTTTTTGTCAATAATCCACAAACATTTGCTCAATGCTGTTTTGATGAAGACAATGTCCCTTTAAAATATGGCACGGTTTCACACTTTTACCGAACAGTACTTTTTCATTAACACCGACCACAAATAGACAAGGAGCAGAAATTTCCCATTGCTTTCAGTTAGTCTTCTTTAAAAGCATAAAGGGATCACTGGCTCAAAAGGTGATGGTGGTGGTGGGGGGTGATGAGGTGTTCTTTATTGCCTGAAGTATCCTGTGTTTGTTACAAGTGACCTGGTCCTAACATTACATCATCACAAGAGCAGCCAGGAGTGTTTGGGGAGCCAGAATGACAGCAGCAGAAAGGAATGTGCAATCACGCAGTGCTTAGAGACTGGCTGCTACATTCCTAAGGGAAGAGAGAATGTGCCCAGAGAATCACTACCACACACTGGGAGGCACTGACTGCCAAAAGTCTTGGTCTTTCACCCTCAACAGATAAAATTACAGACTCGCATTTGACAGTAAGTAACGTACACCTGGCTTTGTCCCAGCACAACAGTATTGCAAACAGAACACAGCCTTTAAATTGAGGGAAACCTAATGTTACACTACACACTGCTGTAAACAAACATTTCACAGCATGCAGGGTGTTCTAATTTCCTTTTCTTTCATCAGAAATTGAGGATATTTTTACTCACTTGTGACAAAGGAAACGTAAACAACTCTGAACAAAATCAACCGGGATATTTTTATTGGCCCATAAAGAGTAACTTTGCAGTTTTGTGAGCGAGTTCTAAAGAAACCACAAGGGCAACTACATAGCTCTGAAGGAATTTATTTTTCTCGTGTTAGTACAACATATACAGGACCTCGAAACAGCTCAAGATAACTTGCGGCCTTAAGGAAAATTTCAATGTGCTGACCCCCTTAACAACAACAACTTACATTGATATAGCGCCCCTCATGCAGTGTAGCGTCCCAGAGCGCTTGACAGTGGCGGAGCACGACACTGAGCCAGGGGTAGTGGGAGGTGAACACGGTCAAAGAGGAAGGTCTTCAAGCGCGACCTGAAGATGGGGAAGGAAGAGGCAAGGTGGAGGGATAGAAGGAAGAGTGTTCCAGAGTTTCCCCTCCTACCCCAAGAGAGATAAACTTACCTTAAAATGCCATAGGCCACTGCCAGTGCTAGCACACAGCACTCGCTGCTGCCCCAGTCAAGCATTAAAAAAATATTACTTCTCCCAGGAGTCTGCTGCCCTAGGCAGCTGCCTAGTTTGCCTATAGCTAGAGTGGTCTCTGACAGGATCATTGTTTGACAATAGTGAGACAGAGATTCTAGGTACGTTTAGGGAGCTAAAATCGCCTAGGACTGCAAAGGTCATTTTCAGGAAGTATTTCTTTATCCTGAGGGTAATTAACAACTGGAATGGGTCACCAGAAAAGGTAGTTGAGGTCAGGACACTGAACACATTTAATAAACGTCTTGATGCTGTGATGAGCAGATGGTAGGGTGCATATTCTGGAGGGATTATATTGAATGGTCTGGAGGGACTTCTTCATCTGAACCTGTTAATGGAGTTTAGTTGGACAGTCTCTCACACATGATGGCATTGATTCATGTATGATGACACTCATTTTGAAAAGTATTGAAGTAAAGTCTGCATGCAAGCATGAAATAGAAAAACAGGACAGATCCATCATTTCCTAAAGCAAAGGGCATGGGGATTGGCTGGTGCTAGAGCCTCCAATGGGCCAGCACTTCCTTATAAGAATTACTATTAAAATCAATCCAATCCAGTTTTCACATTAAATCAACATCTCAACTGTAATAGAACAGTATTAATAAAATAATAATCCTTGCATTTGGTATAGCGCTTCTCACGTCTTCTAGACATCTCATAGTACTTTCAGATTGGGTGACTGCTGAACAGGCTGAAGTGAATCTCATGGATCTTCCTAATCTTTATGGCTCAGTTCCCTTCTTTCTTTTGATCAGTCGGGTGTCTGACACATGTGGAAACCCATCACGATGCTTAAGAGTATCCAAACCAAACTGAGAATTCCATGCACCCCACGATGTTTATTGGGATGGTTGGCAAAAGCCAAGGCTTGGGGACCCTAGAGTGTGCAATGGGGTACTGCTGGAGTCTAACCAGCTAAAACCGTATAGTTTGGAGTTCCATGCTAGATAGTCACATTTAGCAACCAAATGAATCATCAGAGATCTGAAACTCTACCCACGCTTTGTGTGTAAGACCAATTTGTCTTGACAGTTATGATTGCACAGAATTGCAAACGGTTTCAATAAGACAACGCTTCCAAATTGAGGCTGAATTTAAGAATTTTCCTCAACTCTGCACAATCTTAATTTCTTTACAAAATGGCCTTTCCGGCTAAAATTAGATGGAATTTCAGACAGAATTACACAAATTCATGAGCATCTTAAATTAGTCCCAATTAAGATTTATAAATTGCCTATTGCTTTGTGAAAATCCCTCACTTTGCACAGAATACTTTGCACTGTTTTGTCTGTCCTACATATGGATGATTATCCAGTCTGCTCATGTGGACAGACATGTCAGTTAATATTTGTGTGATGGACAGGGTCTACATGTCTGATCAGACTGATTTGTGTCCAAAGGGGCTGTGTTCGGCAGCAGCTTTCGGTCCAAAGAGTCTATGTAGCTGAGTCATAGTTGGACTCCTTACAGCACACCTGAAGCATATAGGAAGGTAGGTCACTCATTCAGCAATTTCTCAATTAGACACTCCCAAGTACTGGCTTCTGTCTCCTTGGTTTCAATATATGTATCTGTATTTTCATGTACAAATAACAGACCTTATGAAATATCGATCCAATTCATGTTGTTTAACCCATGTACCATTCCCTGGCTAAAAGGACAAATGAGATCAGTGCAATCCTGCTTTGCAAGTGCTCAGTGGAAGGTACTCATTCAACTTGCCTTCAATTTAATCTCCATCCCTTTAGGTGGAAGCCGCTATCTCTGTCTCATATTGCTGTATCTTTCCTAAGTTGGGATTTCACTGCATAAGGAAATCACAAGAAAGCAGTGCCCACACACCCCCACACACTATTTTTCTGCTCTCTAAAAGGTGTTTCATGAACTCTATTTATATAGCATTTAACAGCATTCAGAGTTTGTCAAGTTCTTAAATAATAGCCCTAATTTTGAAGCCGTTTCTCTGTATTGCTTTTAAGTACTGCAGAAAAGCAACTTCAAAGTTAAAACTGAATTCAACAATTTGCCAAATGCTGGACAATCCGAAATGCTACATAAATCATCCGACATACATCCAGCAGATGCACACGCACTTGCACCTGAATAGAAATCAGGAGCAGGATCCCTGGCTGCTATTTTTCCTATCTCAGGGTGTTGAAGGTTACAGTGCCTTTCTATCATTCTGGAGATGCAGCTAACTCAATGGACTTTTCTCACAATAAAACCGCTTTTGTACATTGACACAACTTATTTAACACTGGTATTGCAGCCAATCGAAGGATAGATCTTACAAGAGAATGAAAGTCTGTAGCAACAAGCTACGCAATAATAATAATCCTTGCATTTGTTACAGCACCTTGTCATGTCTTTGTGATGTCTCAAAGCCCTTTACAGAAAATACTGTGAAGTGAATTGACTGTATATTTTGTGGACGAAACAATTGCGCACAGTAGTGTCTCAAAAACAGTTGTGCATTGAGTGACCACATTCTTTAAGGGTTTATTAACCCCGGAAAAATGATCCACCAACCGACGGACAACTGGGTTCTTATTTACTACTAAGTAAACAGAGGCATATGGAGTAAGGAAACTTGCCTAACAGTTCACCCTGCCCAGGAATTGAACCCAGGTCCTCCAGCTTGCGAGATGAATACTCTAACCACTGAGTTACAGGGCTCGCGTAGTGAGAGTAATAATATTTTGTGAATGAGTCTTTATCTTCCATTTGTCTCTGCGTTATTTGTGGTTTTCTCTCCCTAACGTGAGTTGAGGCACAATGGTGATGACAGTGGTTGCCTATTACTAATCAGCTCCCTTTCATCTTACCTTTCTCGATCTTGCTCGAGGAGATTGGTGAAATCATCACTCTTGGTCATGTAGTCGGTGTGTTTGTGTTTCTCGTTATCTAACTCATATACTGTACGCCTGTGGCACTTCTCAGCCAGGAGTAGCTGTTCAAGCATTCGTCGATATGTCTCTCTGTGTTTCTCGACCAGCACATCCAGCTTAAGTCCCAGAGAGAAAAAAAAGCATATTACATTCAAGCAGATGGAGAACCCATTCAATGCCTGCCGTTCTCTGATTCTTTTACCAGGACCTCCTTGATCAGTTGGTTACTGAACAATGAGTCGTTATTAATAATAACAACAGTAATCCTTGCATTTGATATAGTGCCTTATCATGTAATCAAAACGTCTCAAAGCATTTTATAGGATTTTACTGTGAAATGTAGCGTCTGTTCTGTCAGGCGAATGTGGCAGCAAGTTAGTGCACATCCATGTCCTACAAAAGCCATGAAGTGAACAACTAATTTTATTGCAGGATTGTTAGCCATGGAAACTCTCTTCTCTTTTTGAATTCTGCCAATTGTAAAGTCAACTTGAACCATCGGTCACATTTCAGGTCCAAAGACCAAAAACAATGCAGCATAATAGTCAGTGATATCAAGGTGAGAACGTAAAGGAAAATAGCAAAGAGACAAGGTGATGTATTTAAAGGGCCTCATTTCTGGAACGATATCACATGCAATTAACACAATGATGTACTTCAACTTTGATTCCGGTCATTCATCGTGTGCTAGCAAAACTTTATTTTATATAAAATGTTTTTAGACTTTTATAACAAACCTAACAACATTTCATAAAAATGATTTAAAATATCATCTCCAAAGCCAGACTGTTTGGAGCCTGCATCTCGTGTCTTACAAAGTGAAGGACTACACCACCATATGGGGCCATGTGCTTTAACTTCCTGCAATTCAGAGCAAAAGGCCAATTTCTGCCTTTCTGACCTGCACCCCTCACGCTTCACTTCAGCAGTTAATCTTCTGCCTTATTTATTCTCAGGTTTCAATAAAACTACTGTGAAGAGAGTGTGGAACGGCTGTGAAGAGAGTTAGTACAGAGCAGGCTGGACCGATCAGCACCATTGCTTATTGATTGCACAATGTTATTTCTAGGAATCTTCCTAAATCAGGTCTTCCTTCTATCAGAATAAACAATAGAAAATAAGTAGAAACTAGAAGCGGCCACACACTGTGTACAACCTACCCCATCCTGGGCTATTCCCCACTTGTTTAACTTCTGAGGGAAAGTTTTACAAAATGTCTCCCTCATCCCTAAAACGTAATCGAGCAAAGCTAAAGAATATCTATCAATCTCCAGCAGTCAGACATGGCTGGCTGCTTTCCACTAATGGCATTTCCAGAAGCACAGGAAATATTGTGTCCCTGGAGTATTTGATTATCTCCTCCATACTCATGCCCATAACCTTGGTATTTCCAGTCCACAGAAAGATGCTTTGCAGATTCTAGAGTACAGTCACTTTGTTCTCTAATTGAAGGGACATTGTGCAAAAAGGGTCAGAGGTTGTGCAGGTTATTGTCAGCTGGTACGAGTCAGTGTTATGGATTAGTGCGGGATTTCAAAATATTGTTGCTGAGTCACAGGGAACTATCCTATTGAACCTGGAGCCTTGCTCAGGAGGAGAGAGGTGAGATTCTCTTGTGTTTTGCCTTTGGATGAATCAGAGCTGCTGAGTGTAATGTTACATTTACAGCATCCTTGTGGCTCTCCCTGGCAATGTTAGATGGCACTATACAAAGACGGTGGGGTGATTTTGTTTTCAGAACAGCCAAAAAGATTCATCCAGCAAGCAGCTGTTGGGTGGGGTGGGGAGGCGGAGGATTTACTACCCGATGGTAATTTTAGAGTCTAAATTTGCAGCTTTTATCATGCGTTTAATATTATCAACTATCACCTTGTTGCGTGATGAAAGGCTGCAAAATGCCACCCTTCAAATGAGACCTTAAACCAAGGTACTGTCTGCCTGTTCAGGTAGACCTTAAAGATCCCATGGCACTATTTGAAAAGAGAAGGGAATTTTTTTCTGGTGTTCTGGCCAACAATTTCCCAGTTAAAATTGGTTGCCAACTTCATGACTGTTTGTACACTGAGCGCAAATTGAGTAATGCGTTCACCCATAAAATGTAATGTTGCTCCAATTTACAGTAATACCTGTGAAGCATGTTGCGACATCCTCATTACGTGAAAGGCACTATATCAAATAATAGGATTATTACTATCAAATTCACCATATGTTGGATATATGTCAGTTTGTAACATAGTTCTCAATAGTCTTTATTTGAACCATTGCTTCTGAGGTGTGCTCAGTGAAGTTAGGTGACTCCACTCTGCTGTGTTTAGATATTGGTGGAGAGAATTTCCACCGGGTCTAGATTTATTGTATTTATGTAGTATTTCAGAATGGCCAGAATTTGGCAAGTTCTTCAAAACAGCTTTAATTTTGAAGCTAGTTTCCTATAAATTTCTTTTAAGAACTACTGACATTGGGCTTCAAAGCTAAGACTGCATTGAATTATTTGCCAGACTCTGGATGCTTTAAAATGCTACATAATTAGAGTAAATCTCGACCCGGATGGAGTTTCTCCCCTGCAGTCTGGTGACCCAGTTTACCGTGTTGGAGCAACTCTAATCTAAAGCTAACAAATCAATCCTTCTATGTGATGTACATACACAGCATATGTCTGATACTGTACCTCTGCTATTGGTTTTTCATACACATCTTCCTCCAAACTCTTATCTTGAGCTTGATAGGAATCCCTGTACAATGTACGTAGGATCTTCTCAGGAACACCAAAACCATAGTGAGCTTCTAGAGATTCAGGATTGATCTTCTCAGACTTCAGCAGGTGAATGATGTCCTCTCGTGCCTACAAAGATTCAGTAAAAGCAGATGAGAATTATCAAATGTAACTGTTCATTTAACATTACTAAAGTGGAGTGACTACGTATTTTGTAGTCAAATGTTAATTTTTGCATAGCAATGCCCCACAAACAGTCATGAAGTGAATGATCAAATTTTTCTGGGGGTATTTCAAGTGGATATGGACAAGCAAATGCAATGCGTTAAGAAGTGCAGTACCTAACAGAACTATAACACACAAAGGAGCATTAATACTCAGCAAACACAGAATAGTGTTTTATATGACTACCCTATTGCCCGGTCGAGAGAGAAGACTGCACATCTTATCTCATAGCGAAACCTTCTCGTCTAGTGTCATAATCTTAGCAAACAAACACTCTTCCTGCTACATGTTCAGAGGCCATAATGGTGACAGGAAGCAACACACTAACTGTAGTCATGGAAAATACATTAGCTAATTACCAAATATATGGAGTGAAAGCTTGGAAGTAGAAGTAAAATAATTAAAATGTTTATTTATTTTGTAATAATTGACTGAAGTTCTAGTCAAGGTCACAACATTACCCGCAGGATGTGCATCATTCATTAAAACGCTGCCTTCAATTTTGCACCTTTCAATGTCAAATGAAGCACCAAATGTTGTAATCTCTGAACTCATTTCCAGCCATGTTGTAATTGATTTAATGTAACACAGTATGAAAACCTACTGAAACTGACTAGTGTTTTGTAGTGAAGTTAGTAATATGTTACTATTCACCAACAACATCAATTTGCATTTATATAGCATCCTTCACTAGGATAACGTCTTGGAAGGTAAACTGGGGCAGCCTTAACACAGACTTCACAATCAAATGAAATGTTTAATTTAGTTATTCTCTTTAAATATTTAGTGGTTGAAATATCTCTGGAATCGAAGTGCAACAGCTTTGACAAAGTGTTTTTACAATGGGATTTCCGTATTATAAGAAAAGATTATCAGCAGCAGCAAAATAAATTTCACCCTCCTGGAGCATTGTCCTCAGTTAGAAAAACAACAGAACCCATTTAAGTATCACATCTAACCAATACTTTGCTGCAAGGCTTGATGCTTCTCTCCCCATGTGCCGAAAGTACCGGCTGGTAGGTCAAACAAGTCATAGCACTATCATTATCCATGGAGAGGTCATAATCTGGGTGGCTCTGACACGCTGATTTAACACTAAAACATAAATGTTGTACAGGGACAAGGAACATAAATGCAGGGGGAGGAAAAACAAGGAGAGAAAATACTGGGCTCCAACATTCAGTGATTTGTACAAGAATTGCTGATTGCTCTGTGGAATCCCATAGATATCCAGACATGTGTCACCCCAATCCTCATGAATCCCACTATAGTTCCCACTTCCAGACCCATAGAAGCAGGGTTCCCACGGGTCAGACTGACCCACTTCCAGTTACAAGTAGGATTACTATTTCCAACTCAAGATCCTAGATAAGCAATTCTTACAATAAACTGCTACAAATTGGAGCCCATGACACTAAAATAGAAATAACTGCATTCGTTAACGGTGATAATTCACGTTCGTCTACAGTCACTACACTTCAAAATAAAAATCCTGCGAAGGATTTTGAGAAGTTTAAATAATGTGATTAGGCTCTACATCAAATACAAGAGTTATCATTATTATTATTTGACTTTATTCTTTTCTAATATCCTGCAGAACCTAACTGCCAGCATTTCTCTCTCTTCAGCCTGGGGACTGGGAGTCAGACTGGGACATATAGTTCTCTACGGCCAATGTTAAACACTCAACTTGACACGCACTTCCAGCAACAGTAAACCAGTCGCCCAGATGAGTTTTCCTTTCCTCTTGATGTCGAGCATTCCACAATAGTAAGGCACTCCATCTAGTGTTCCAACTAAAAACTGATCAATGGCACTGAGAATTATATCAGTGAGGCGCCATGGACAGGCAGCACTGGGGTGCCAATGTACAGCCACTGGTTGTTAAGAAGACACGCTTCTTCCGGTACACCTTGTTGTTAATACTTTTCTATTTGTTGATAATAATTCTTGCATTTGTTGTGATGTCTCAATGCGCTTCAAAAGATTTTAGTGTGAAGTATAGTGACTGTATTTCTGGGCAAATGTGGCAGCCATTTTGCACACAGCAATGTCTCACAAACAGTCATGAAGTGAATGACCAATTTTATTTGGGAGACTTTTAGCCAGGACACTGGGAGAAACTCCCTTCTCTTTTTACATAGTGCCATGGGATCTTTAAAGTCCACCTGAACAAGCAGACAGAACCACAGTTTAATGTTTCATTTGAAGCACAGTAACTCCAACGCAGCACACCCACCAGCACACCCATTTGTACCAACTAGGAACTAGGTTGAAATTCTCCAACGTACATCCACTTGGAACTCTCACAGCCAATAAAGTCTTTCGCTGCATGAATCTGGTCTGGATTCAAAACCAGATCGTTCATAGGTGAAAAGCCACTATTAGCCGTTGGATGTAAATTGTAAGACTGCCAATAGACCAGAAGCACTCTACCCCAACACTACTTTTAACAAGCTCTTTGTTTCATTTTATCTTCCAATTACCCTTTCCCACTTGTGTGCCAAATAAAACCTGAAGGTCTGAACACCGTCTCTGATTCCACACCATGAATCAAACGATGCGTCAACACCTACGGAGAAAAGACGTCAACAGGCTGTGCGGTTAAGGAGCACTGATTCTGATTATGGCCAAATATGGACTAGACAAAGACGTCCTTATTTTTAAGGCTGTGAAGCACAGGTGGAGGCTCTGTGGTCGCCCATCTGAAATCACTGAGCCAACTCAGCATGAAGCTAAGATGAGATCACTGCAAAGAGGAAATGCTCTCACGTGGGCTAAAATACTTGTCTGCAGAAACTACTGACTACTGTCACAGCTCTCCTTGTTCCCTATGCTCCCCAGACTACCATCAGCCCTTTGGTATAGTTTATACGGGGAGTAAATGATGGTGATCAGTGTATTGAAAAATAAACTAATGGGTGAGATTCGGAAGCACATCCCACAGACGTTTATTTTTCAACAGAGCCCTTGAGTCTCAGACATGAGTTACGCACTCCCTGTGAAATAACAGCAAAATAGTTTAATCTGTTCAAATTATGGTATTTTGATGATCCCAGGTCAGATCCCTGCTCTGTATTGAGTTAACTGAGCACAGTACTTGTGGAATCTTATCCCAGCACAAGTCAGTGGCTTCAGGAAAGGATGGGAGAACTTTAAAGGACATGCATTTCAGTGGCAAGCTATGTGGTCTTAGGTGGTTAAACTCCAGTAGTACTCCAACTCACATTCTGGAATCCCGGAAGCCTTTGCTCTTGCCAACCTGTGCCTAATACTCTAGAATTAGGTAAGCAAGCAGGGTGGATTGTTCTAGGGAGAGTGCACGTTCCATTCCAAACACGGGAATTTCCATGTATAGGTGGGATGCATATAACTCGCATTTTAGTTTGGATATTCTCAATCATGGTGATGGGTTTTCACATGTGTCAAACACCCTGAACAAAAAGGACAAAATTAAAAATGGTCCTCCCGTGGAAATTAAAGCCTAGATGAACTGAACAGCCTGTTTCTGTGACATATCATTCTATGTAATTCAATGTAATCTCTGAAGCAGAAGCAATGAAGCTCCATTTGCCATCCCAGTGCTTCATCTGAGTTCAGGCATTCACTGTACATGGAATCATGGATGGAAGCCTAGCTGGGAAAGAGCTAAGGGCGTGTGTGTGAGTGTGGAGGAGAGGAATGTATCAAAAGCGCAAGCAAAGAGATAGGTCTTCAGGTGGGAATTGCAAACAGAGGGATGTAGTGAGACAGAGAGATTTTGGGAGAGAGCTTCAGCCTCCAGCGGTGGGATTTCACTTCAGCACATTTGTTTGCTGACATTGTGAACCAAGAGTTGTCCATTCCACTGGTACTATATGACGTGATATGTTTATCATGGTAGATTAAGATTTATTATAGCCACAGCTTGTTCGCAGATGCACTGACCATTCAAACTAAACATATTCTGCAACCGCACCTCTCTTGCATGGTTAATAATGATAATAATCCTTGCATTTGACATATACTTCATCTCATTGAAACATCTCAAAGCACTTTCATAGAGTTTTTATGTAAAGTACAGAATGGAATCACGTGAAACATTTCTCTCCCTTCATTACAAAAGGTAATAAAGGGAGAGCCTGGGCAGTTGGCTTTACTCCCATCTCTGAGTCAGTAGGTTGTGGGCTCAAGCCCCATATTGACACTTTGAACTGACAGTCGAGGCTGATACTCCAGTGCAGTAGTGGGGGTGAACTGTATTGTCACAGGGACATTCTTTGGATGAATTGCTAAACTGAGGTTCCAACTGCCTGTCCAGGTGAACGTTAAAAGATCCCACTGACAAATAAAAAAAGGGAGATTCTCTCGGATTCTCCTGGTGTCCCCCAGATAAAAATTTGTTCACTCACTTCATGGTTGTTTGATGGACATTTCTGCGCACAAATTAGCTGCTGTGTTTGCCCACAAAATGAACAGTCACTACACTTTGGAGTAAATCCTCAAAGAGCTTTGAGACAATCTCTCGTCGTGGAAGGTGCTATATCAAATGCATTGATTATGTTTAAAAATGGATGAAAGCTTGAATACTGAGGAATACTGAGCATGTGCACAAATGTGAAAAAAACAGGATGTTTGGAAAAGAAATATATTTAAACAAATCATTGTTCATACCAAGATTTTCACTTCATCCTTTCTTATTTCTCCAGTTTTAAATACTGTGTACATTTTTAGATGCAGTAGTCTGTTATTCTACATTATAAGTGCTTTAAATTTTGGGGGGACAATTACATTGTAAAACCGCAAACTTCCATCTTGGAGCCTGGATGTGACATGTGCTGACTCTCTGCAGTAAAACTGTAAGAAACATCGAGAAAACGTGCCTTACAAGTTTGTGCATTCTTTTACTCCCAACCTGAGGAAGT